GGTCAGAAAGCGTAACAGTCTTTCATACAAACAACCAGAATAATAGCATAGATTTTTACAGTAAGGCATAACTGTCCAGTGAACCACATAACAAACTGCAAGTAAGCTCAACATTTTAGCAAGTAGTTTTCAGAAGCAAATTTTTGCAAATGAACTTAAAAGTATAATTTGAACCCTGTTGCTAGACCTGTTTAAGCAATAGAAACCTAGGTGCAAACTTATTCTTTAACCTAATTCTTTAGGTTATCTATAAATTTATGCCATGGTTTGCTTGATGTCAAGATGTGCTTCGTCAGTTCTAATTATTTTAAATTTTGTTGAATAATAATAATAATAATAATAAGTTTTTGCTTGAGGTGACCTCAATAAGTCAAATTACCTTTTCTTGTATTTTATTCTACTCTAACAATTAGACTGTGATGTATGGTCTAACTTTACACTTGAAATTTGCCATTAAATCATTTCTTTCACTCTGTGATGACAATGCTTGGCACATCATCTTGCAGGTTCAGCAACTTCATTGTACAATATTGTTATGTATTTAGATACATGTGAGATATTCAAATGGAATACAAAGTGAAACTTTCAATATCTAGCTGAGGAAATAATTTATAACCAAGTGTAATGTTTCACTATAGTAAGGATTGCTGAAAAAATATATTTTACACACAATCCACTAACAACATAAGATGATAAGTCATACAGGTCAGGTGGCCCTCAGGAAAGGAACAACCACTAGTTTAAACACTAGTATAATAAAGCAAAACATTAAGAAATCTGCCCTGACTGGGGATTGAACCCAGACTCATCAAATTGCACTAGTGCTCTTGATACTCCAGCAAGCAAGTCACCATGACTCAAGTTGATAACTCCCATCCTTATTATAACAATGTGAAATACATTTTACAATAGCTTGTCCTACCTTTAAAGCTAAAATGCCAAATTATCTGAAGTCATATATACATGCATGTGCAACTCATGCTCATGCACATATTAAATATATTTAATCATAGAAATGGTGTTTCTTACTACTAATACATATTTTTTACTATTCTGAAAAAATCAAAACAAAAAATTTGATAATTCAGATTATATCTAGTCATTAATATTAGTTACTACTAGAAACTTTATCATCAACTTTATCAATGAATGGGCTGATATATTAAATGTGTGTTTAAATAATAAACAATAAATAATTATTTAAATAATAAAAGCTAATAGCAAAGGAGGTTGGATCTACTTGGGTTTCTGTTAGCAAATATAAGAGAAGAAGGCTTTTGGTCAGAATATGTTACAAAACACAAGATAAAACTGAAGAAATTACAGAGAAACTGTATGGTGAAATACAGAATTTATCTGTTAAGGAAATCATAATTAGAAGATTTTAATTTCAGGCATAAAGACTGGAAAATGTTAAAGTCAAACTATGAGGGAGACATGATTTTAGAAACAGATTAGGGTAGTTTCTTTCTCAGTTAGTTAGGGCACTTACTACAAACAGATAAATTGGTAACTTATAACACAGAAATGGTTGATATGGTGGAGACAAAAGAAAATTTGGGAGTAAGTGATCATTGCTTAATTGGGTTTGACATTTTACATGATACGGAAATAAGGAATAATGAAATTTTGACTACAAATTAAGATAAAAATCCTGAAGGGATGAGACAAGAATTATCTGTTGTGAAATGAGCAACTGAATTAATTGAGATACTGATCAAATATGGAAACACTTTTAAAAATTCATGATTGGCATGTTCCTTATAGAAAAAAAGGGTGTCTTCAAGTTAAAAAACCAGGTTGGCTCACAAACGATATAAAGAATAAAATTAAGGAAAAAGCATTATAAATTTAAGAAGCTAAAACTGATTGCTGTGATAGGAGATTTGGGAAGTTATAAAATATAAAAAACATAGAAAGATTGGCTGAAAATGTAAAAATGAATAGCAAGAATTTCTTTAAATAATTAAGGGTAAGCAAAATGTTAGGATGGGGGTCAGACATTTGAGGGATGTTACAGGAAGGCTCATACCTGATAATTATGAGATGGCTGGGTTATTAAGTCCTATTTTTTCTTTAATTTTTTACTAATGGAGATTTAAACAATATTCCTCATCCTAAACAGTGGTAGATGAAAACAAGATTGAACAAGATGATGAAATTAATTCTAAGCTTATTAATAAGAAATTGGAAAATTCAAATAATGAGAAAGCTCATGGGCCAGATAATACCTCTCCAAGGGTTTTGAAAGAGGTTAAGGATTGGATATGTGAACCACTTGTTACTAATTTTTATAAAACCTTAACCTCTTTTCAAGGTAGGTGATAAAATATGCTCGTAATTAGAGGCTCATTAGTCTTACATCAGTGGTGGGTAAAGTTTTTAAAGTCTGTTAAAAGATGCTCTGCAAAGTCATTTAAAAAAGCTTAAAGTTCTGTTGGAAAGTTAACATGGTTTCACTAGGAAAAAAATCTTGACTTGATATTCTTTTGACATCCACTGATGTAGATAAGGTTACAGATGTGGGTTTGGTGTAATGGGATATTCAGAAAGCATTTGACAAAGTGCCACATAAAAGACTTGTTAAAAAGATTATCTCTGTAGGTGTAAGGTACAGGTTGTCTCATTGGATAGAAAAGTGGCTTGATGGAAGCAGGGGAATACTGATCATTGATGGTATCCTGTGCTAAATATACATTCTGCACTCTTCCTCAATGAAAATCTAATCTAATGCCTTCAAAGATGCAAATTTGTGCCCCTTACAGGTTGGCACTCTGGAGTTCAGTCAAATTGGATTAATGTCACAAGTGAGGTACCTCAGGGCTCATTATTAAGACCTTCGATCTTTTTTTTATTTACATGTGTGACAAAGATGAAAGAATGGTTAATAAGTTACTTAAATTTGCTGATGATATTCAGCTTTTGAGTTTTGCTGGCTGTGAGGATAATGTTGCTGCTTTACAAAATGATTTAAATTTTATGCTAAGCCAGCCAAATAAATTGCAGATAGCTTTTAATTGTAATAAATACCAGATTATGCATGCAGAATATCATAATTTGTATTGTAAATATAATTTTGATAGGAATAACCTTAACAGTGTTATGGAAGGAAAAATAGCTTAAGTGTTCTAGTTGATTAGTTTTTAAAGCCATCCAACCAATGTGCTATTGCTAGTGGCAGGTCAAATAGGATCACTGATTGTGCTTACTGAAATAATGAACTACAAGTCTAAGGAGATTATAATTTAATTGTATAGGCCAATAGATGGGATACATTTGTAGTAGTATGTTCAATCTTTGGTTCCTTACTTTAGGAATGGCACTGAATTGTTGGAAAAGGTTCAGAGGAGAGATTCTAGGATAATACCTGGGATAAAAAGATTGTCATACAAAGACAAGCTAAGATCTCCAAAATTGTTTTCTCTTGAATAAAGAGTTAAAAGAGATCTGATTTAGGTGTTTACGATTGTTAAGGGAATTGATGGTGTTGATGCATCATCTTCTTCTAAACTTAATAGTCAGAATGGTAAGACTAGTAGACATAAATATAAATTTTGGAGTGATAGGAGTCATCTTCAGCTAAAACAATTTTATTTTCTAACAGTGTGGTTAGCTTTTGGTATGGCTGCCTTCAGATTTGGTGTATGAAGTAAATATAAGGGAGTTTATGGGAAGGCTTGATAAATATATGAATGATAATGGCTAGTTTTGAATGTTTTGTTTTTATTTTAAAGTTTAGTTTAGTGGATAGAATGGCCTATATGAATCAATAGGTCCATTGTTGTCCTTAAATTATATGTAAAGCAGCAAAGTTCATGCATTTCATTAAACACTGCGATAGATTGAAATATCAGCAACACAACACTTAAAAGTTAAATACATGCACATAAATTATTGTACAAAGGACTTTAAAGTGGCTTTTAATATGATAAGTCTATACGCATATCATGTTGATTATATTTAAAAGCTTTGCACTTCACATTAGGAATGTTTAACATAAAACAGACTTACCTATGCTATTATGGTAAGTAATTTGGGTATTGGCACCTGAACATAAAATAAGATTAAGTATAAAGAAAATATCTAGTGCACCTTACATCTGTATTAGTTTTCTATATCGAAACTAGTCGTGAAAGCCGAAGCACGAAAATTTTGGTATTATGAACAAATGCTTCACTTATGTTTTCGTGGGGAAACAAAACCCATCATTTCTCTCATTTCCAGTGCAATAAAAAAACTTTATTCTAAAGTTTTCTAATTGAATATTTTATCTACTAATAGTCTTTTTTTGTGGAAATTTGTTCTAAAAATGCAGTTTAAAATAATGTCTCGCTCTCATCATCGCCTATCAAACATCACAAAAATTTAGTCAGCGCCATTTCAAATTTCAATAACAAATTAACATTAAATGCAAAAATTATTAATAAAACCTTTAAAACTAATTCCAAAAGGTAAAGTATGCAATAAAAAGTTAACGATACGATTTATTTATTGGAGAGAATCAAAAATGATGGAATACCTTTCATAATGAACATAAATGTAGAACTAGAATGCTTATTTATAAATTATAATTATAACATCGACGATTTTCGTGCCTCGTAGTTCACGCCATCCCCACACATTCACACCGCACAGACAATCTACGTTAACGTTGTGTAAATTTTACGCCAAGACTCAAGAAAGATGGATAGTAAGTAAATCAGTTAAGACATACTAAAGAAGGTTTGATGATGCTACATTGTAAAGACCCTTCAACTAACTTCTGTCGTAATTCTTTGCTGTTTGTAACATCTGAAAATAGTGTTAAGGTGATTTTAACTTTTAGACTTTTATCTAACTCAAGCGTGACAGACATCTTGACCGTTTTGCTCACGCTATATATTCAATATATTTGTTTATTATGATTTATAGTAGGTCACAGTAGTCAATAATAATGTACACAATTTATTAAAAATATCACCAGCTAGTGTTATAAATAATTTTTATTAAATCAATGCGTTTACTTCTTCATTAAACATTATGATAACTTCAAGATATATGAAAATTACGTGACTAAAGCACTGAAAATAAACATTATTTGTGATATTGAAAATAAATGTGAAATAACATCTATCATTTGTCCCTGAATTATACCATTTTGGGATATCCCACCTCTAATTGAAATAACCCTACACAAATCGAAAACAAGATTATGATTCTTGTAATGATGGGCTATACGTTATGTGTATAATGTTTTTAGCTGTCTTTTACTCTGCACAGTGAATATTGTTACGACAGCGGAAGTCACGTGAACTGGAAACAGGTCATGATATTCTCGAAGAATCTTGACTTTTCCTGGCAACTCTAGTCTTTTCTAGTCGCCCTCTTTTTTGTATATAAGCCAGGCAAAAAAAGAGGAGAAATAATTACACAGCTATAGAGACAGATAATTGAGTCAAGCAAGCGGTAGTGACCGTAAGTAAAATGCGTGAATCGTTTTGAATTATAGCGTGTGTTTAAGTTAAAGTAACTGTGGAAATTCTGTGTATTGCAAAGTTGTATAGAGAGAGAATAAACTAGTTTTATTTAAGAAAGGACTTGTATTGCTGAAGTTCCTAGGGAAGAATTTATACCGGAAATTAACAAACGACCAGAGACGTAACAATATGATTTTTGAATTTTCTCAATGTAATTTTATCAGAGTTACTAGACTGAGGGGCTGGCTTATGAGGTTCCAGTAAAGATTTTACACCCAACAACACTAAACTCCATAACCATATGAAAAAAAAATACTATTAAGTCTCCGTTCGATAGTTAATTTTCCGTAAATTCGTTCCGACGAAACTTTAGCGACACAAGTCCTTTCT